GGTGCCTTTTCCAGTTCGGACACTGGAGGGTGCCACATTCCCGTCTTCTGCTCCCTGAGCCCCATCCCCCTTCTCCCACCTCCCTCTGGAGCCGCTCCCGCAACTCGGACCGTTCATATTTATTTAATCACCGTCTTAATAATCAAAGAAATATAAAATTAAACCCCCTCCAGCGCTTTGGGATGGGCAGAAGGTGCCCGGATCCCCACATCCCTGCATCCCTAATGCACGGCCCCGGGATGGGAAGAAGATCCAGAGGCCAGAGCGGGCTGCCCCTTGGGATTTTAGCACGCCTGGAACTGGGATTAACTGGTACCAGGTGAATGAGAAAATCCAGACTGGAAGGGATGTGCCCTTCCTGCTTCATCTGAGAGTGTCCCTATCCTAAAAATATTCCTGGCTGGGCACACGTGCTCCGTTCCCAGCTGAGATATTAAACTTGGACTGGGAAACCAGCTGGATTTTGGGGCGTGCCATGACTTTTTTTTCCAGAGGGAAGTGGACCGCAAAGCAATAAAAGCAGTTTTATATCTTCCCCATAAAGATTTTTCCCCTCCTGGTGACCTTTTTGGAGCTGTTCTCCAACCAAACCATCCCCAAATTTCCTTGTGGAAGACGTCTCCTTGTATCCCAGCCAGGAGGGAATGTGCTGGTTATTCCAAGCCTGGTGTCCTGACATCCCATCTCAGCCCTGAGCCAGGGAAACCTCCACCTCCCAAGGCCAAAAAAATGCCATCAAACCTGAATTTCTGACTCTACAACAACCCCGAAAACCCGTTTGGGTTCAGGGCAGGGGGAGAAGAAGCTCCAGCTGCAAACTCACATCCGGCTCCAAACACCCAGATCTCCCTAAAAAATGAGGATTGTGGGGATGAAGGGAAGTTTAGTGCCACGGAGAGAATAGAAATAACCACCGGCACTTCCAGTCTGTCCTCCAAAAAGAGGGGTGACCCCAAAGCTCGGGGTGATCCCAAAGCTCACCGTGTGACGTGCAGCTCCCGAGGGAGCGTTTTCCCAGCTTTAACCCCTTCCCAAGGCTACCCAGCTCTGGGAAATCCCACACTAATCCCATGGAACAAGGCTGTGGATCCATCAGCCTGCTTTATGAGCAGGAAGTGTTGCATCCAGGACCGTTTCCCACCAAATTCCACGGCAGAACTCCCCATTGGAAGCTGCTGGTTGATCCCCGCGTGCGGAGAACTCCGCACCCAAAATCCTGATTTTCTCTTTCCATGGCTGGACAACGAATGTGCTGGTGCTTCCAATGCCTTGGAGGCCTCCCAGCTCCCTTTTCTCCACCCCCTGCATCCATCCCCATCCCTGTATCCCACCTGCTGATGTCCAGGTGAGTCTGTATCCCGTCGCTCCCCGGACCGGGCTCCACCTCGCCTGGAGCGTGTCCGTGGTTTCGTTCTGCAGCCAGAGGTTTTCCACAGGCAGGAGTTTCACTGGAAGGAGGACAGGGAAGAAAAACCACTTGTCAGAGGGAGGGCTTTGCTGGCTCTGGTGGGAAGAACCAGAACCAGTCTGGGTTGTCTGAGGCAAATCCCTGGGAAAGAGGAGCCGGGTGGGATTCGGGTTCCTCTCCCAGGGAACGAGGGACAGGGCGAGGGGAAACGGCCTCAAGTTGTGCCAGGGGAGGTTTAGATTGGATATTTGGGGTGATTTCCTCATGGAAAGGGTGATCAGGCACTGGAAGGTGTGGAGTCCCCATCCCTGGTGGGATTTCAAATCCCTGTGGATGTGGCACTCAGAGACACGGGGCAGTGGTGGAGGAACGGTTGGATTCCATGATCTCAGAGGGCTTTTCCAACCTTATTGATTCCATGGGAGGGATTTCCAGGGTGTCCTGCCCTGCCTGAGAGGTGGAAACCCAACCTGTGACCACTCCAGGCCCGAGATCTCCGGGCACCAACCTCATCCAAGAGGCAAAACGTGAGGGCAAACCAAGGCCCTGGTAGATCCCAGATCCTCCTCCCGAGCTGTGGCAGGACAGATGCATCCTGCCAAGACCTCAAATCCGACCAAGCCATCGTGCAGGATCAACTGTTGGAGCCTGGTTAACTGTCTCCTCGTTAATTATGCCAAAACCACCCTGGTTCATCGACTTTTGGAGGCATACGCCCCGCTTTTGGAAGTCTGATGGGACAGATAAGCTGGGAGCTGGCCTGGAGGTGGTCAATTCATACCAGAAAAGTCCAGTCAGGTTTTTCTGACATCACCCTTCTTGGGGTGGATGTGTGGAGA